AGTCCTTTTCTAGCATGGTACTGCAAGTACTGCATTTGGAGTCAAAAAGACATAGATTTGAATCCCACCTCTGACACTTGCTAGCTATGTGTCAGTCACTCAAAATGAAGTGAAGCCCATGAAACCTGGAATTAAATTCAACAAATTTATTAAGTCTTCCAGGATGTTTTATTGATGTGATATGTTACAACAGCAAGTAGGAGTATGAGGCAATATTCAAACCCAGATTTTCCTGAAGGAATTATAAACTTTATCTTTGCTTTTATATCTTGTATTTTGTATCTGTATCAGTTTCTACTGTTTCTTTATGCTAAATTGTATAGTCAGATGCACCAGTCATGGTTATGGATGGTACAGAAGTGGCTAAGTCCTGAATTCATCATTCAACTGCGGTAATATGTCTCTGCCTCATTGGCTGCCATGGTCTGGACCAAAAGGTTAATAATTTATGATTTGGAGCTATGTCAATCTAGAATTAATAAGAGTTCTACATTAGAATTTTTAAAATCACATAGATCACACAGAGGTACTTTACAATTTATAAACAGGTTGCATTACAAAAGTTTATAACGTATTGATTGAAACTTGTTTTTGGAACCCAGGCTGACTCCTAGTCCAAGAATCAATATACTGTACCTCATTCAGAGTTCTAATCTAGGATATCAATAAACACTTTTCCCTATACCTACAAAAGGAAGAAGGACTTTCCTCTCCTTCCTATTTCTTTCCTCTTCCCTATTTGGACCCCCACCCCCAACTCCAAGCAACTAACTGGTGAGCTGGGAAAATAGAATGCCTCTCAGGAGTAAAGAAACGGATTGAAAGGAAAACAAGAGGAGGGTGGAGATAATGGGCAAAGACAGCTACTTCAAGGGTTAGCAGTAAAGAGATACAGAAGGATGTTCTTCTGCCAATATAATCCCCAAGACCAGGGGTGGGGAACCTGTAGCCTTGAGGCCACATGTGGCCCTCTAGGTCCCAAAGTACGGCCTTTAATAAAAGGATTTGTTCTGAGAAGTTTGGATTCAGTCAAAGGACCACACTTGAGGACCTAGAGGGCCACATGTGGCCTCGAGGCCACAGGTTTCTCACCCCTGCCCTAGAGTCATTTCTAGATCCCAGGTTGGCTTCTCAGTAACTCCCTGACCTTTCTTTCCATTAGCCAACCAACTCCCTTTCCACTGCCAAGGGTTCAGGCTCTTTCTTCAGTGCTGAGGGTTCAGCCCTTACACCCCATCCCTCTTTTTTTAAATTGTAGCCTAAAAGTAAAATTGCTCAGAGGTGCTAAAGGAGTTCAGGCATATAAAAGTACCAGAATAGATTTCAGGAAAAAAAAATACCCTTAGATATACAGCAATAACAGCAGCAGCAGTAAAACTGAGCTGCACAGCCAAGAAGTATGACTTCACAGAGGATGAGATGGCAGAGTTCAAGGAGGTCCTCCAGCTGTTTGACCAAATAGGGAATGTTAAAATCTTACACAGCCAGTGTGGGGGCATGATGCGAAAAAATTTCGCCAGAAACCTACCAATGCTGAGGTGCTTAAGGTCTTAGGGAATCCTAAGACTGTTGAGATGAATGTGAAGTTGCTAGACTTGGAATATTTTCTGCCAATGCTGCCAGACTGTAGCAAAGAATAAGGACCTGGGCACATACGAAGACTATGTTGATAAGGAAGAGAACAGCATAGTCATGGGAGTTGAAATGCAATATATCCTCATCACCCCGGGTGAAGTGTCGGTGGCAGGGCATAAAGATAGCAACGGTTGTATCAACTATGACGAGCTATTCCCGATGGCAATAAATGACTCTAACAACTCCCATTTCCACAAAAGAACCTCCTAACTTTCTCAGTGTGAAAATCATCCTCTTACTCTTAAAGCAACTAACTACATTTTCAGGGTTACCAACATCCTTACTTCCAACCCCCACCATATATCCTCTGATGTCTGACCAAGCTCTAAGTGTTCCACAGCACCTGCTTCAGCCGCCTTCACGGCTGCTGGAACAAATTATTCTTATCCATCCATTCCACCAGGTGAAGTCTTCACAGACTTGGCATATGAGTCTAAAACAGAATTAATTATCTTTCCTGCCTCCCCAAACTCACCTTTCTTTTCCTATTTCTGACTAGAGCATCACTATCTTGGTAAAGGGGGAGAGGAAAATCCTAAGCAAAGGGAAGAAGAGTGCTCAAGGGTACTAGGCTATGAATTCATCAAGTATGTCCATTCCTATGTCACAGTAAGCCTAAACTAGATAAAAACAACAGAAAGTTTATAAGGAACAAATTTTCCTTCAAGTAAAAAAAAGCAGAGGAAATTAAAGTATTTCTTACTTTCTTTAAGTAGCACAAAGTCATAATGAACTCAAAATATTTTTGCATAAAAATTAGAATAGAAGAACATTGATGGTTTATAAAAAAAAGTATCTCTCAAGAGCTATTTGTTTATATGATAAAGGTCAGAAAGTTCAATTTGCAGTGTAATTAATACAATGACTTTTTTATATGGGAGAAATGAGTTTTTCTTCTTTAATTTCAAATCTAATAAATATATTCTAGATTCACTACCATCTTCTTGAAAAAAATACTAAAGTTACACCAACATATATTAATGATTTTAAATAGGCAAGATTGGAACAGTGGTATATATTAATTTTAAAAAGCATTGTTTCCTAATAACTCTTAGGAAGAAAATAGCATATGAGTACTGACTGAGTTTCTAATCAATCATTTCCACAGTTATGCAGCTCATTTCAATTAAGATTGCCTTAATAAGTATCTATCACTGTGAATCTGGGTGAATATCACTGAGCATGATATTCAAAACTGGTACCCCAGAGATATAATCCTTTTAATGAAAGGGCTGTTTTACTTATATTTAGAGACTCTTTTCCTCTTAAAAAAAAAAAAACCAACTCATTTGCTTTCTAATTTAAACAGTTCAATATTTAGCATCTATACATTATTATAATTAAGCTACTTTGCTTTGCTAAATGTTCATTGGATCCTTAGATATGAACACTACTTCTGGAATCAACCTGGCTCCACTGCAACTAGACACTTACTTTTGTTCCCCTTTCACAGACAATTAACTATTTAAAAGATTGGTCTGCATTAGGAGAAAAAGAGGACATTTACCTTTAACAAGATGTTTATCATGGTTTTTGGCCCTGATTATTCTCATTTGATAAATTAGTTACTGAATGCATTTTAATCTTTATGGCTTATTTTTTCATTACACAAAACACACTTGTATTTTAACTAAGAAAGGTATAATCACTTGCTGATATCCTTTAAATATGGTCAGTTTTCACTTCTTCAAAATAAGAAAATTTCACACCCATACTTTTAGTAGGTAACTAATCAACACGAGATATGAAATTATTTTTAATAATATTTCATAGGAGTTATTCAGACATTTTAGACAATACAAAGTAACCAATTTAAGATGAGATTATATTAAGAGGCAAATTATATCAAAGAAAATCCCAATATCCTTTCCAAAAATGGCAAAGGAAAACATTGGACATAACAGAAATGAAAGATATTGGAGGGGAAAAATTCTATATGTCATGAAAATCATCCCTAATTCTTTGCCAAATCATTTCCTTTTTTAAGGAACCAATGTACCAACACACAGTGCTGAGTCTATCTCAATATCACTGCTATCCAAGTTTTACCAAGAAACCCTCCCCTAAAATTAGCAATACACTACAGAAAAAGAATTTCACTACTCAAGGAAATGGTAACGCTAGCAAATAAGATGTTGAATTTCCTATACATCAGGATAATCTAAATTTATCACATTTATCTTATGCAACTGCTGAACCTCAGAGATTTTTCAAGCTCTCCTTACCTAAAGGAATGTGAAAAGGCCTGCAATCTGCAGGAAGCCAGAGTAAGCATTAAAAAAGAAAGGAAGTTCTGATAAATCTAAAAGGGTTAAATGACCTACAATAAAAAGTGTCATATGGTCTTCACTGGGGAGACAGAGACAAAGACAAAGATAAATGGGAGAGAGGGAAAGGGAGAGGAGAGGAGAGGGAAGGAGGCTTAAAGACATATAGTTGACTACTATAAAGCTATGTTTAATTTTGTTTATAACTGGATTTATCATAATCAAAATCAATAAATTTTAGTCCTTTCAGAGTGAAACAAAAGTACAAAACAGACACACATCCACCCAAAATTATTCAGCCAAGACAATTCTAATCGCAAAACTACTTTTCCTGCAAATGGAAAACATGGAGATTCATGCACTCTGAAGACACTAAAATCTTACATGCAGACAGAAACACAACAGACTAAAACCAAGCTACCCACCAGTTTCAGCACTGTTCTAATCTACATGAGAAAAAATGCAACCAAAAAAGAAAAAGCTATGACACAATTTCATCAAAGTAGCAAGGCGAAGTCCATGGATTTAGTTAAAGTACAAGTGCAAATTAAATGACAACGGCTCAAAGTTAGCAAGATTAGACTCTAAGCAAGTAGGCAAGTTACAGCTCATAAGTTAATACAGACAAACGACTCACGACAAGCTAAAAATTATGCCATGGGATGAACAGGGACGTCCTGAAGTCAAGCCACTACTAACCGTGTGCTTCAGTATGGACTTGCACATCCATTCAACACTGATATTTCCTCATGATCACAAAAATGCTACTCTGAGTGAAATACTTACTCTGTATTTAACCTACTTAGAAATGAAACATGGAATTCACAACTATAATTTGGTAGACTGTGAAAATGAGATTACCATTAAAAGATTAAGAACGTTATGCCTCAAAATATTTTGGTTGCCCACTCAGGTTCACATCTCAAAGTTGCTGCTCCTTCAAACCAGCAAGATTTAAGAAGTAGAATACTTGCCATCATCACCTAGAATTTTCAGACCCTACCTACAAGTCTTAGGGAAAGTTCATAATCACAATAGTGAAGCCTTAAGATAACACTAGAAGGGACTTTTGATAAACTATGGAAAGTGGGGACATACTTTACATCTTCAAGCTTTTTGGTGATGACAGACCCAACAGAAGAAAAAGCAGCTGAGGCCTTCTGTCCAGCCTGAGACAAAGTTTCTGAAGTCTTCTTGTATCTATATTCAATTATAAGAACAGAGCAAAGCAAAGGTAAGTTCAATGAGATAAACAGAAGGAAATTAATCTTTTCAAATAACTCATTTCAAGTGTGGGGATATCTCAAGTTCAAATGCATCAATAAAATACACTTTTGAAGTCTCACACACACACACACACATACCTACCCCCACCCCCCCTTTTCTAACAACCTTCCCCTCACCACATCATGAGCCAAGGGGAAAAAAAAGTTCAGTCCATTGACTTTTTCAGATCCAGACCTTCTAAGATACCCTAGGAACAGCCGTGACAGACTAATGGCCTTGCCAAGGTCACAGTCTAAAGAAACCAAGGCAATCTTAAAGAAGACCATATAGCCAACCTAACTTTAACTTTAGACAAAAGGTCAAAACAAAAATATAATATATATATACTTGGTCTTCTTTTCCTTTTCCCACATCAAAAAGAGAATCCAGTCAAATACCTCAGTGTTTGCTATGGGCAAACGCTTATTTTCTCTTTACCTTAACCAGTAGAAAGAACTGGGAACGAGGTAGGTGAGACTAAGTGTTGAAACCTAAATGAAATCTGAGGGTCTAAATGATCTCTGAAAACTATTTACAAGGCTACAATAGAATTCATTTTAAGTCATGAGAGCTAACAAATGCTTGTTAGACACATGGCTTTCAGGAGAGAATATTGGTGTGTGGTCCATCTCTATATGACTACAAATGTGAAACTATGTCAAAGACGGCATGGTTTCCAAATCTTTATGAATGATGTTCTCTACTACTTTTACTTACTGTATCATAATCAAAAATGTTAAAGCAAACAAATAGAATTGCTTATAGTTACCAATCTGGGGGGGAAGAGTAAGAGTTGAGATGCAGGAATTATGGCAATGCAATTTCAGAAAAAAATCTATTTTATCATATTACTGATTAGATGATACATAAAATTACTGCTCACTTCATCACAAAGGAGAGACCCAGGCATAAATACTCATTTGTCTCTGCACTAGGCACAATCTGTATGCACCTGGGACTGTTTTTCATCTGTTATCTAAGACTAATGAGCAAGAAGAGCAGATTTGGAAAACTGATTCTGTGGCTACACACAGGAATAAATAGGTGGAGTTGAAAATGTATTGGGGGGGTGCCTTTGCATGTACCCTTCTTATCTCAAAAGCTGAATCAGAATGAAGAAAATGCACTCCCAAGGACTGAAGTGTGTTAGGAACCTACGCAGATGTGGCTGTCACATCTTGCCAGCCTCTGGCAATGTTCTGCCTTAGTTCCTGTAGTGAATTGATTCCAAGTTTTCTCTTGATCTCAGCTAGATGCTTCTCCTTGGCTGCTAACACTTGAGATAGGGTCTGTATTTCCTCTTCTACCTATAAGAAAAAGGGGAAAATATATAACAAGAATTAAACACAAGTTAGGGACAGAATATGTGCAAAATCTTCTAGATTTTCAATATTATCTAATTATCAATATTATCTAATTATCTAATTTTTTTCATCTGAAGGGATAAGGCCTAGACCTGTGATTTCATTGTTATAGGGAACTCCCAGATGAGAAAACTCCCTCTATCAAAGCAACACAGCACCTTCGCTGCAAATTAGAGTCTTTAAGAGTTGCCCATAATATGAGAGCTTAAGCAACTTGACCAGGGTCCACAGCCAGTATGTGTCAAAGGTATGGATGTGAACCCAGGTGTTTCTGGTTCCAAGGCTAGCTCTCCATCCACTATGTCATGCTGCTTTTTCAGCTATTTTTTTTTCTTTTTGCCATTAAACATACTTTTTTTGATATTTATATATGGTACCTAAGGAAGACTGCTATTAACAGTTATCAAAAATACAGGCAACCTATTAGTCTGGAGGAATTACTGCTCTCTCCCCAAATAGTTATTTTAATATACAACAGAAACCAGGCATTTTACCCTAAGATGAAATTTCCCAGTCCCACTATTTTGGGAAGTTTGTATGATTAGAGATTGGTGATAGAGCAAAACCTTGAACTCTACTAGGGCTCAATATAAATCTGTATTATCCTACTGTGTTGCACATGGTCCAAAGCATGGTACTGGGATATGATTATAACTGCCACGGTCATCCACAAGTGGGAAGGGATATTCTTAGGTGAAAGCTAGAGATGTGAAAAAATGAAGGAGAGCTTGCAAAAGCATTTCTTACTTTTTTTTCCTACCTTTCCCCATAGAAACAGGGTCTCATCTTAACCATACTTCCAAAAGACAAGCCCTGAATAATTTTCAGCTAATTTCTGAAAGTGATATTTAATTCAATCTTTTGATTATTTTTAATTACTCATACTGCTCATGAAAAATAAGTAATAACCTGTCCTCTTCTCTTTCTTTCCTGTTAACTCCTTATTTCCATTAAACAGAAAAAGAAAAAAAAAAAGTAGAGCATATGAGTTTGGTGCATAGTGTTGTGAGGGAAAGCTACTTTTCTGGAGACTGAGAATTCCTTAGATGGTATTAGTCAAGCACCTGTCTTTCACCTGGTCCAAATCTCTTTGCTGTTTTCTTACTCTGCACACAACCCAGTAGTTTAGGTTTTCCCAATGTGTTCTTACTTGGTTTAGAGATTCACTAACCAGACTCGGGCTTAGATTTTTAGTGTGTAGTGTGTCAATATGGCTTAATTCTTATGGATCTAGATTTCTCCAACTATAAAAATACCAGATGACTACATGGAACTTTATGAAACACTTACCTCATTTATGTTACATGCAACCAGGATTAGATGTAAAGTTAATAAATTTGCTCTTACAAGAAGGTCAAGCAGAGTCCCATGATGCTAGAGCACTGGGCAGAGTCCAAGGGGTCACACACCATCAATACTTTTTTAACCTTTATCTCCTCATCTAGAAAAATGGAGATTGCCCCCACAAGCCCTTAGGAAAACCTGGAGTTACCCTCTGGATAATCCAACACTGTATCTGAATTTTCAAAAAATTTCTTAGTATAAAAATTCATCATAGTTTAAAAGGCAGAACATGACTAAAAAAAAATTAAGACCATCTCCCTATCCTGACTGGGCTGGAAGTACATGGATTACTCATGGTCCCTATCACACTAATGATCAATCAAGTAGCTTTGACTTGCTCCATTTCTGACCTGGCCCAGTTTGTCCCCTGTGGGTACCCTGAGTACCCCCAAGAAATCTGAAATAGAAAGAAAGGTTCAATATACACCAAAATATTTATGGCGTCACTTTTATAGTAATAAAAGAACTTGGGGAAACAGATATCTATTGATTGAGGAATGGCTAAAAATATTATGAGAGATGAATTTAATGGAATATTATGGTAGTACAAGAAATGATACATATAGAGATATGAAAAAACTTATAAACTAATACAAAATGAAGTAATAGAAGCAGGAAAATTATATGCATAAAATAAATAGGAAAGTAGGTGGGGAACCAAAAGAGCATTCTGTCTTTGAAGTCGAAGAGAGACAGAATTATCCAGCAGAAGCTACAGAGATATTAGAGGGTGAGTACTGGAAAAGGCCATTGGATTACAACAATGTGAATGGGATAAAACAATCAAAACTGAATGCTGCAAAATTATGATGACATGGTTGGCCCTAAAGGCTCCTTCCCATACTTCCTTGCAAAGGTGGAGGACTGTAAGTATTGAACACAGCATATAAGGCCAGACTTTTTTTTTTTTAATTAAGTTTTCTTGAACTGATTTTTTTTGCTCCTTCTTTTTTAGCTTCATTATAACTGGTAGCTCCCTGGGAAGACAAATGGGAACGTATACACTGGGAAATGCAGGTGATGTAAAAACAAAAGATATCCAACAAAATTTTATTTTAAAAATTGTTAGGCAATAGGGCATTCTTTGAGATTTTTGAGTTAAGGTGGTGGTGGAGGGAAGAGAGAAGAGAAGACAGACACAAGAAATGTAGTGGAGGCAGAATAGACTAGGCTTGGTAAATGATGAGACTTTCCATCTCCTCACTCCATGCATTTTCTCTGGCTGTCCCCCATGCTTAGAATTTTCTCCCTCCTCATCTCTACCTCCTGTCTTCCCTAGCATCTTTCAAGACTCAACTAAAATCCTACCTTCTACAAGAAGCCTTTTTCAATCCCCTTTAACGCTAGTGCCTTCCCCCTAAGATTCTCTCCAATTTATCCTATATATATAACTTGTTAGTACACATTGTCCTTTAGACTGTAAGCTCCTGGAGAACAGGAACTGTCTTTTGCCTCTCTGTGCATCCCCAATACTTAGCACAATGCCTGGCACATAGTAGGCACTGAATAAATATGCGTTGACTGACTGGCTATAGGGAACTGAGGAAGATAAGAAGAGTCAAAGATAAGTTTTTAGCACGATGCCTGGCACATTGCAGCCTGACTGACTGACTACATAAAACTGAGGAAGATAAGAAGGTGAAAGATAATTTTAAAGTTTTTCATCAAGAGACTAAGCAAATAGCGATGCCACAGACAAAAAAAATGAAGTTGGGGCAGCGAGGTGGCGCAGTAGATAGAGCACCGGCCCTGAAGTCAGGAGGACCTGAGATCAAATCCGGCCTCAGACCAAACACTTGACACTTATTAGCTGTGTGACCCTGCGCAAGTCACTTAGCCCCAACTGCCCCCCCAAAAAAGAAAGAAAAGAAAAAAAACCAAAAAAGTTAGAAAGATGAACAAGGTTAGAGAGAACAGAGAACAAGCTGTTTTGAACAGAAGATCATGAATCTAGAGCTGGAAGAAATCTCAGGCCTTCAAGTCCAACTACTTCATCTTATAGACTCAAGCCCAGAGAGGCTGATTTTCCCAAGGTCACACAACTAAGTCTCAGAAACATTATTTGAACCCAAGCCCTTTGACGTCCAAAATCAACACTCTTTCCACTGTTCCACGCTGCCTATCCTATGTTAAACTTAAGTGCCAATGGGACATCCAGATAACGATGTCCTATAGACAGCTAGAGAATTGTGTCCAGAGCTCAGAAAAGAGATGAGGGATATAGATGCGGATGGAGATCACCAACTTCAAAGAGGTGTAGTTAACATCATGGAAGTGAATGAGATTGCTAAAGGAAAGAATATGAAGACAAGAGATGACCAAGAACAGACTTCTGAGGAAGACTCACTTTAAGAGGGAAGGCAGCAGAGTAGCCAAAAAAGGAGAGAGAGGAAAAGTAACTGGAAAAGACAAAGAGAGGCAGAGTATCTAGCAGAGTCTACAGAGACCCTGGAGAGCGAGTGCTGGAAAAGGCTGTTGGTGACCTTCAAGAGTGTGATTTTAAAAGAGCGGAGAGAGGGCTCCATGAAAATAGAAAGGCTGGAAGGAAAGTGGGTAGTTAGAAGCAGAAGCAAAGGATGTAGAAAACATTTTAAAAGTTTAGCAACAAAGGGTAAAAAACCTGGAACAGGTGCCAGATTGAATAGAAAGGTCAAGAGAAGGTTTTGGGGTGTTTTTTTTTAGGACCAACGAGAACTGAGCATCTTAGGAGGCAGGTTTTCCATTTATTAATTCTGGCCATTTCTTAGCTTGTCCTTATTAATCTTGACTACAGCCACATTTATGCCAGATAAGTGTAAAATTAAGGCAGCATTCTTTTTAAAAAGATTTTTGGCTTTGCCTCTGCAGGCTGCAGGGTTGAGCAAGATAGCTGCCTTCTTCACTTGTGCATGAGGTGGAATCAACTGTTTTCCAAAAAAAAAAATAAAAAAGGGTTTCTGGACAGGCTGCTCTCCACTGCAGTTTATCACAACAGGAAACTCTTCCTGTTATCTAGTTTAAACTCCCCATGCTGTCTTTTATACGCCTGTGATGCACCTACTACCACGGTCAGTGGGTACGTATACAAGCACACGCTGGGGAAACATTCCCAATGGTTTTTCCCCTTCCAAGATGATAGGTGAATGTGAAAGCTGTCCTAGGGTGTGCCCATACACCTACCAACACTCTATGTATGCCTATGAAGGGAAGAGAAAAAAAGTAAAGTGAGACTGAAGATACACAAAAGCAGGGGTGACAGGTGGAAAGTCTTAAAGGAAGCAAGAAGAAATGGGATCAAGGACGCAGTCAGAAAGAATTAACTTTAGTAAAGAGGAATGATCCCTTTTCTTCTGGAATCATGGGGAAGAGGGTGAAAGTGAGGCATGAGGCTAAAAATGTTGATGAATGGAGGAAGGGAGCTCACGTAAAACAGTCTCAATCTTTTCAGTAATTATGAGGCTAGGTCATCTGTTGAAATGGTGGAGGATCGAGATACTGTTGCAGGCAAAAAATGATAAAGGAAAAGATTCGGAACAGTTGCTGTGGGTGACCAGGTACGGAGCCAATGAGGTGAATAGGAGAATTTTTGAGTAGCCACTGGTATCTACACAAGATTACCATAAATTTGTAGTTGGTGAAAATAATTCAATTCTATTCTGGTGGTGCTGGAGAAAACTTTTGAGAGTGTCTTGGACAGCAAGGAGATCAAATCAGTCAATACTTAAAGGAATTAATTCAGACTATTCACTGGAAAATCAAAATACTGAAGCTTAAATAATTTGGCCACATAATGAGAAGACAGGTCTCATTAGAAAAGATTCTGGTGCTGGGAAAGATCAAAGGCAAAAGGAAAAGGTGATGGCAGAAGATGAAATGGATAGATAGTGCCCTGGAAGCAACAAACATGAGCTTGCACAGACTTCAGGAGACAGTGGGGGATGGAAGGCCCTGGCATGCTATGATCCATGGGGTCATGAAGAGTCAGACCTGACTGAACAACTGAACAACAATAGTAATAACACACACAAAGACACTTTGAAAAGCTACAAATACTAAACAAGGCATGAGAGGCTTTTAAAATTTCAATTAAAGGATAATAACTTGTTATCTATATTAAATTCTTCATGTTTTCAAACTAATTTTGGTAGACCTCACCACCAATGTATCTTTCCCTGCTTTGAAAGTGATAAAGTTAAATGTGGGGATTTGAAGAGGATAGTCGGTGACCTAGATACATCAATCTGTTCTCTGGTTTGTCCTACTTCTGATCCTTCTCTTACTGACCTCCCACGGGTTTCACACTTTATCATATCTACTATGAGTTTTTAAATGGGAAAGTTAACTAACTTCTTTTGTCAGATTCAAATGACATGACAAGTGCTTCCAAAAGACTGACAATAGCATATGCCTCATGAAAACATCTACTAAAAGATATAAAAAATTACAAGGCGGTAGTCCAAAGAAACAATGACAATGTTTCTAAAGCATTACATTGAAAAGTTATATAAGTGGACATTTATGAACTTTCTCACCACCATGCATCTGCTAACACTGCTCCCCCTACCCGGAATGTCCTAGCTCCCATCCTCTCTAAATTTCTTTCAAAGTCCACCTCAATTGCAAATCATCCTACAAAGTCTGTTTAAGTGTTATCTCCTCCATTAAGTCTTCCCTGATTATGCCCAGCAGGAACTGATCTATGTGTGTTCACATGCACACATACATCTCTCTGCATATGTGTGCATGTGCTCCTGTGTGTGCATGAGTCTCTGTATGCACATGTGCCATCTCTATGCATGTTTGTCTCTCAGTCTCTGTGTAGGTCTGACTCTGTATGTATGTATATCTAACTTCTCTGTATGTTGTGTCTGTCTCTGACAATTTTTATTTCTGTGTCCGTGTGTCGTGTGTTTGTCTATATTTCTTTCTCAGCGTTTGTCTGTGTGGGAGTATGCCTCTCCTTCTATTGTCTCTTGGTGATTCTGAGTCCATCTCTTGTTCTGTCTGATTCTCTCTCTCTCCTCCCCCCCCCAAAAAATAGCATAATACTGTTTGTATTTCCTGTGTGACATTTTCACATTCTATTTTGTATAGTGGTTGTTACAATATGTTTATGCGTTATCGCATCTAGACTGAAAAGTCTGTGAGGGCAGATGCTGTGTTGTATGCATCTGTATCCTTCAGAGTATGCCTTGAATGTAGTAAGTGCTCACTAAACATTTGATGAGTAAATTAATAGGTAGATAAATCACTAGGAACTTTTTTTAAAATTTGTTAAAATATTTTCCTGATGTCTAACTAAGTTCTACTTCATGTCACCTCATCTTCCCAGGACAATGATGAGGATTGACTTTTTTTTTCCATTTTGTGTGTGTGTGTGTGTGTGTGTGTGTGTGTGTGTGTACGTGTGTGTGTATATATATATATTTATATATATATATATATATATATTTGGGGGGGGCTTTTTTGGTGAGGCAATCAGGGTTAAGTGACTTGCCCAGGGACACACAGCTAGTAAGTGTCAAGTGTCTGAGGCCACATTTGAACTCAGGTCCTCCTGACTCCAAGGCCAGAGCTCTATCCACTGTGCCACCTAGCTGCCCCTAGGATTGACTTTTTAAAAATACAAAATGGGCTGAAGTTTGTTCCATGGTTTCCTCCTCTGGCAAGAAAAGACCGTGCTCTACCTTATCCCTGGAGTTTGGTCTTCTCTTTTCAGGTTACTCTTCTAGTTGGATTAAATTTTAGTTTATAAGAGAAAACAGTTTAACTTGAGGTTTTACAGATTCTTTAGCAACACAAAAGGTAGACCTATTCCTGGCGGTGGGGCACACGAGAGCATTGTCAAAATAATGGTTCTTTACCTTGGCAAGTTCCTTTCTTAGTTCTTCCTGCTCTTCGTCTGACAGGGTCTCTGCAGCACTGATTGTAGCAGCAGCATCTTCCCCTTCTTCAGGTACTTGGTCCGTTTTCAGCAGACCTTAATAGGGTTTAAAAAACATGCAAAAAAATAGATTTGTAAAACTGAGCTACTTGGAGGTAAAAATTGTGCTACCGGGATCCTGTATTCCAAGCAAAAGGACTAAAATAAAGATAGCCAGATTAGGAATTTGCCCTCTTCCCATTTAGTACCAGAACACTGGCAAATAAGCCCCTGTGCCCACAATAAAATTTTCCTGATGCTCAACAGACCTGCTTTCTGTTGGGGACATTCTGACAAGATGCTCTTGCCTCTGAAACCTTTCGGTTGACTTACAGGACTACCAAAATCAAACAGCATATGATAATAACAACACTAACAACTCACATATAACAAAACGTATATATGTGCATTGCCAAAATGCAGGACCCGGACAATAAATGTTGTGGCAAAATATGGGAGGCAGAAAATTTTATTTTAGCTAAAAAATAACAGGAAAGGCTTTCTTGAGAAGATGATAAGGAGCCAGGCTTTGAGGACTGGGTAGGATTTGAATAAGTGATTTTTTTTCTGTAAAAAAATAAACCATGATGTGAAAGGAAGACTAATGGATTTAGAGACAAAGAACCTGGGTTCAAATTTCAGCTTTGAGCAAGTTATTTAACTTCCATGGGCCTCACAGTCTCATCATTTGAAGGGTTGGAACAGATAATATTTAAGGTCCATTCCCCCTCTACAAATATGATTAATTTCTTCTTTTGAGCAACTGAATTCCTTTATATGTTTCTTCATTGGTCCTTATTTTACATCCACCTCTTTTGTATTTTCCAAGTGTGCTGTCCAAAACTGCCCAGAAAGCTACTCCAGAAAGCAGATGGGCACTGCTGAGGATTATTGGAGTTTCTACATTAATAGAGGTTTTGTTTGTTTTTGCTTTAGGAGAAAAAGTTAGATTACTGATGATATAAATTCCCTTTAGCTATCAAGGTAAATAAAGGACCTAAAGATGCTAAAGAACACAAAGGCAGAACTGTCCGCAACTTGACTGATCACACCAAGAATGAACCCAAGATTATATGCTAAAGGTCTAGGAAATAAAACTCAGTAATGACAGGCTCTGTCTTTTCCATGTTAACCATGAGGTGGCAGCAAATCACCAAAAATATAGCCATTTAAAGGGGAGGCAGAAGTGAGAAAAAGATCAAAACCAAGTAAAATCTGAAAGACCACCTAGGCTAAATGTCATCAGGTAGTGAACGCAGGCAAAAGGAGCTGACAAAAGCCGAGCATCTGTAGGATCCCCAGAGACAAAAACATTTCTGCACCTGAGGCAAGCACCACAAACCAAAAGAAGCATGAAAGGTGCCCTCACAGCTGAGAGGGAGACTGAGACCCCAGGACACCAATCTAAGCGGTAAAGATGTCAGGATACTATGTGATCACTGCTGGGGAGGCTCCTCATCCCCAGAGGAACTTACCTTGGCCCCAACTTATCTTTCCAGCCTCCTTATTCATCACTGTTTTTCCTATACTCTACAATCCAGCCAAACTGGCTTTCTCTATGTTCCTTACCCACATTGTTCCATCTCTCACCGCCATGCCTCATCACCGGCCATCTCCCATGCCTGTGGAATGCCCTCCCTTCTCACATTACACTCACAGAATCTCTCACCTCCTTCAAGTCACATCTCAAGCTTTTCCTAATCTCCCATAATTGCTAGTGCCCTCCCTTTCAAAACTTCTTGTGTTTTGTTTAGTACTTATTCTGTATACACACATGGATTATCCCCCAACAGAATGTAAGCTCCCTGAGGGCAAAAACTGTTTCATCTTTTGTCTTTGCATCCCCAGCACCGAGTACAATGTCTGCCACACAGTAGAAGTTTTAAAATGCTTATTGATTCTCATTTTCACTAATTATTCTTAATAACCAGGAACCAAGGTCAGTTGTTTCTTCAAAGAGATGTCAAAAGTAAGATGAGAGTCAGCATAAGGCAGTATATAAAGTTTTAGATTTGGACTCAGGAAGACCTAAGATCAAATCCCACCTCTGACACTGAGTAGATATATAAATAACCAAGGACAAGCTTCTGAGTCTCAGTTTCCTCATTTGTCAAATGGGGCCACTGGAGGATAATCTATTTAAAGCACTTTGCAAACACTAATAGAGTTGTCATTTTTCTTATTATTCATCATCATCTAAGAACGCTCACTACTGGGAGTTGAAGTAAAGTAGTAACAATTAAAACAAAACAGATGTTTTGGGGGTTAAGGCACAGAAGAGAGTGGAGGAGCCCAAAGGGGGCCTTTAGGCCAACATCATATCAACCAAGAGAAAAATAAAACCTTTGAAGTATCATGAGAGGGCAAGAAGAACTTTATGGATAATCTAATCCAACTCTTTCAATTTACAGGAGGAAAATGAAGTACCAGAGTGGGGAAGCAATTTGCTCACGGTCACAGAGGAAGGTGAGCTTAATTCTCAGTTAGCTTAATTTTAAGGCTGAGCTAAGACAGGTCAAATCTCTGATATCCCTAGAGACCATTCTGTCCAATACTCTCTTCTTAGAGAAGCCAAATAAGGCCAAGTTATTGACCCAGACCTCCTGACTCCTAGTATTTCTTAGCAATGTTGTATAAATTTAGCATTCCTCATGGGCCCTGACCTTCCAAAGCACCAACGACCAAGGGTGAATAACTGGGCGGGTGAGTTGGCCCTCACATTCTTTCAGGTACACTGTGGACTCTATCTCCCCTGACTCACTAGGCTCCTGTGGTCAGAAAAGCTTGAGAATGACAAGTGCAACAAGCCTTTACATAACACTTTTTTTTGGGGGGGGGGGGCCTAGGCAATGGGGTTAAGAGACTTGCCCAGGGTCACAAAACTAGTGAGTGTAATGTGTCTGAGGCCAAATTTGAACTCAGATCCTCCTGACTCCAGGGCCACTGCTCCACCACGTAGCTGCCCCCATATAACACTTTAAAGTCTGCAAAGCACTTTTACATGATTATCTCATTTGACAAAGCAAGGGAGAACAAAACTTTATGAGAAAGAAAAGGTCCCTGGAATGGGGAATGCAAAGGTATCCCCCAAAAGGCATGTCTTGCAGTAGATCTTGAGGCTGTCTCCCTTCCCTTGTTTTGCTGAAAGGATTCCCTCTTAATGGGGAAAATCCACTTTCCAGACTACTACTAGTCCTCTAACCACAGAAAAAAACATGTTGTGAAATGACTCCTAAAGAATGGTAGCTGCTGTTAGTACTCTTAGCCCTAGGCCGAGCCAGAGCCCGAGTCCTACTAGCTAAGGCCTCTCTGCCTTCTGGCCCTCTCCACCTTCTTTTACCTAAGGGACTCTAAAGTCAGAAGCAGCAGTGCCAGAGATGCAGTGCTCTCCCAAAGAGACCTACTCTTAACCTCCTATGACTGGTTGGTTTTCCTCCACTCTTCCTAGGGGGAAGACAAGAGCTTCAAGAGCCCTTTTAATTACCCATCCTGGGACAAAGGTTTGACTGCCCCACCTTAGTTCATATTCTAGGAATACCCATCAATCAATGAAAATAAGGGCTCTCCCTTATACACTAAAATGGAATGAATGCATCAGAAGCAACATCAAAATTAACTAAAATTTCCTAAACACAACTTTCTGAACTTTTCTTTTTCTTTTTGAAGATTTTATCCCTACCTTTTACAACCCCTCCCCAAAAAGTAGTCCTTGTTATATGAACAATCCTGGATCAAAGTTAGTTATTATTAGGGGTAGATAGGTGGCACTGTGAATGGAGCACTGGGCCTGGAGTCTGGAAGAGTCGAATTGGAATCAGACCTCAGATACTTAGTAATAACTCTGAAAAGTCACTTAACCTCTGTCTGCTTCAGTTTCCTCATCTATAAAGTGGGGATAACAGCATCTACCTCCCAGGGCTGTTGGGAGGATCAAATAAGATAATATTCGTATACAGTGCCTGTCACATAGTAGGTTCTATATAAATGTTAGCTATCATTATTATTGCTCAACCTAGTGTGGCAGCTATGTAATTTGTCCATACCAGGAAGACAGGCAGCTTGCCTTCTACTGCCAGTGAAAAAATGTTCCCCTCCCTTAGGATGTAAAGTCAGAGGAAAAGGAACAAGGAGAAAGATTCATGAGCAAAATGGGCAAATTATAAATGTAAGGGGGCACTGGTCCACTCTTTGTTTTCTTCGGAAACTGTATTTCCTGGAAACCTGTGCAGATCTCAGCAACAGAAATTAAAAACAACTAGTTCAAAAGAAAATAATCCCCAAAATGGGAACAGATATGGAGTAAGAGAGAGAAAAGAAATATGCGGAAACCCTAGCTGCAACCTAGCTCTGAGTTCCTGATTGTCTGGTTGTTATTTTGGGAAACAAGGTTTCTCTATTACCCTCCCACATTCCCTGACAGACACCCTTTCATGAATGCCCTAGCCCTCAGGCCCAAGCCAAAAACAAAACAAAACAAAACAAAAACAAACAAACCCAGAACATCCAATAATGCTGCTGGGAATGCTAACTTAGCACCTGTCATGAATAATTTGAGGTATTTTCCTTCCCCCGTTATTGTACAGAATAGAATAAGACTTAAGTGGTTAGTAAGGAATTGAGGCCAACATTGCCCCAAGAGATATATATAGCTTTGGAAAATTGGTGGGGTGAGTGTGCTTGTTGACTGATTCCACTCTCAGGTATTTGCACCGTATTCTATCTTAAATAAAGATCCTTTGCTTTCCTCGTATATGAGGTAACTCACTCCTCTTGGGAAGAAGAGGCCCAAGGGAAATGTGGGCTCAGGCACCGCGGGCTGGGATAGAGTGAGCATATCATGGACCTGGTTTCAACTTCCATAGCAGTAGAGAGAGGCAAGGAGCAGGCAGAAGAAGGCCGGTGTAGAAGCCAGGACACCACACTGACCACCGTCCGGCTGCGCTGACATCACTTCACTCGGAAGCACTTCAGCTTCCTCATTCCTAAAAAAGTCTCACTCCCTTCTCAAGAAGCTTCAGTTGCTCCCTACTCCCTTTAGGACATATTACACACCCTTC